GGCTGAGGAAGCTCGACAGGGGAGGCTGAATTTTCCAGCACCAGGTGGGGTCTATTTCCAGCCCGTCTGGGGCTTACTTTTCCTGGTAGACAAGCTGCAACATCCCAATCCTTTAATACCTTCAAGAATAAATGGCTCTGGTTTGGCATAACGTACTCAAATACTCCTGTGATGTCCCACAGTTTCAAGCTAACAAATTTCAACCTCACACAAACAAAATAAAACAAAAATTTTAATTACTTGCCACTAAATCATAATTTCTTGCCGCCTCCTGTCTTTTCTGCCTCCCATTTGAATATCCTTCTTAATGTCAGAAACAGCTTAAGATATTTTTTCTTTCTATACAGAAAGCAATACAATGTTTATTGCAAAACACCTAAAGCAGTATATGAAATCGAACTCATGCTCCTATTTACATCCATAAATACTTTCTCTTCCTTTTTGACAATCAGCTGTTTAGACACTTTTTGAGGCAAAAGATGCAGCTGGACCACCCTGTTAATGAAGTAACTCTGATCAATGCTATGTGACTTTCCGCCTACTATACTTTCAATTTCTACAGTATCCTGTAGCGATGAGTTTGATAATTTAACGGCATTGAATGAAAAAATTACTTCCTTTTATTTGTTTAGATAGGTTATCTGAAAATTTAATTAGATGCCCCTCTTTTGTTATAAGGAACAGAAAATTGTCCTCTATTCATTTTCTTTATGCCATTCAGTGGTTCTAGTGATTCACCACATTCTGAAGATTTATTTTTCTTGAAGCTGTGTATTTTTAATGTACTTTTTCCTCAGTTCCAAGCTCTTTTAATCCCTTATTTCTGTAATCTATCTTTTCCATTAATTTTTTTAAAGGGGATAACCAGCATTATAGACACAAGCATAATGTAAATTTGTACAATGGTAGAGTGATACTCTCAATTTTCTTTCCTGATAACCTGTTTGTTGTTTACTACCAGTGAGTTTAATTTTTTATAGAACTAGCCAAAAGGACAGCCAAATCGCTATTTTAAGCAATAAGAGACCACTATCATGTACTACAGCTTTGTGTATGTATAGTATTTACTGAAATGGATCTCTCAACATTGTTTTTCCAGCTGCCATTTTATCACCCGATTTATTTGTATTACATAATTAGGATTTTAATTCTGATTATCTTCAAAAACTGTCTCTCACTGGCAAATATGTTTTTTTTTTTTTTTTTCCCAAAGCCTTTCTTAGCAGCACAAATACCAATACAGATTTTGTTGGGACCTAACCAGTACCTGCCTGCTGCTACGGAAATCAACCCTTTTTATTATCTGCTTCTTAACTTTTACTGGCAACTAATTTCGTTAAGATTCTTCCCTCTACTTCCTTATCAGAGTAGTATTGCTTGAAGGCCAAGTACGCTGCTGAAAGCTTTCTTGTCCTTGTGCAATTGCACATTTGCACATTCAAAAGCATAATGGATTTGTGGTGCACGACTTTGCTTTAGAAAAGCCATATTGACATTGCCGAATACATCTATATTAAATGTCTATTATTGCTGTTTTTTTAATCCACCATGGATTTCAGATCTGTCTAGAGTTCCCAGCGTCCCTTCTAAAAGTCTTTTTAAAATTGACACCATGTTTGACCTATTTCCTTCATGTGACTATCCTTAACTTAAACAATGGAGTATCCAATGTTTTCAGCAGATTAACAATGTCATATTTGAGTTCCTTGTAAACTCCCGAGTGAGTCCTATTGAGACTGGGTGATTTATTGCTGTTCATTTTATCGATACACTCAAAAAAAAAATCACTTCTGTGACATTTCAGCTTTGGATATTTCTTCAGACTAATCACCAACAAACACTGGATGGAGCACAGCAAGCTCTCTAACCTCTTCTGCAATAAACATAGGTACAAAACGCTTTAAACTTCTCTGCTACAGGCTTATCTTCTTGGAAAGCTTCTTTTATTGCTCTGTTATCTGTCAGCTCTACCAGCGCACCACCAGCTCTCTGTCTGCCTGTGACATGTTTTAGAAATATGCATTAATGATGCCTCTAGTATACAGGGCTTTTAAGTCTTTTCTCTTTTGGTCTTAATATTGTATTATGTCTCGCCTATCATGGTTTGCTGTATTTTCTCCTGGGAGGGGGAAAAAAAAAAAGTTTCATTATTATTTTTATAGGTTTAGGAAGTTATTCCTCCAAGCTTGGTGGGGGATATTTTTATGGCCGACTTCATTAATGCCAAAACATAAGCTCTTTGCTGGTTTTATCATTTGAACAGAATCTTTATTTGAAAGATGATTTATTTCTAATGTCTTTATCCCACTGTTTAACTACATGAACTCCTTCCAGTCCTCTTAAAAATCTTTTTTGATTGGTATAATAATCAGAATATGGTTATATTGCCTGAATATAGCCTCCAGACATTTTATCACTGACATCTATTTTCCTCACTTCTATGCAGCTTATCTTTTTCAACATCATGTTACTGCAACAGAATTTAAAAACTTTTGCTTTGTGCTTATTCTCTAATTTTTTCATTTTAAAAAAATGTAAATTATATGCAACAAATATATCAAACTTTAACTGGCTATCTTATCTTAATGAGCAGCCAATCATAGCTTTATGACAAAAGTATTTTCTACCATAGTACATGAGAATTTTCCAAGAAACTTCCATTAAAATCACAACAAACTGGCAGCCTAATTTTTCGCTAGTATTCTAAAAGCAATTGGAGTTCTGGTGTGTTCTTTATTTGTTGAATCACACCACACTTTGAAGAAATCAGTCTTGAGAGACCATGCTGCGTTTCCATAGCAATGACTTCAAGTTATAAAACCAACTCTGAAGGAAGGCCGGGTCCTGCTCTCAGATGCATAGTGCTTATTTCAATGTATTAAAAAAAAAAAGAAAAAAAAAAAACAACCCACCTGTTAGTATGTTAGCTCTATGCAGAGCAAACAACATCATCACACCTCTTTACAGTTTTAAAAAACATCTATCTATACAAAAGTGTGTCTTTTGTATACCCTAAGTAGAGATGAAATGCAATGTAAACCCAAAGCTTATTTTCTAAAATTGGTAAATGAGCTCGGAATGCCACAGCAGACAACATCATTATCTTAAAAATAGATTTAGTTTTCTCCAACATAGATTTTTAGCCAATCAGCATACACTTTTGCTACATTATAATCTATGTTGAAAGCAGTTCTATGTAAGCATTATCAAAATTCTACAATTATGAAAAGTTCAGTAAAAATTCACACTACTTAACTGCTAGGATCAAGAAGAGAGCCATTCTGGATCACTCCATGAACACTGACAGGCACAGGTCTGGGAACTACTTAAACCTGCACTAGATTTCCTCAGTCATACAGAGGGCAGTTATATTTTTCACATAGAAATGGAAAAAATAGAAAATTCTGTGTGCATATATTTGCATACATATATTCTAAGAACAGAATTAATTTTTAAAAATTATTTTTGAATAGTATAAGCCAGTTTTGAAAAGTAGCTAATTATGGAATATACAGAGAAGACTCTCATCACTTTCAATAAGATCATCACACTGTATGATAACGTAAGTATCTTCTTTCTTGACTCCAGCTTAACAGATTGTACCTTTCTATTTGTAAAATACTGAAAAAATTATGATACGCACAAGAAATTGTTACTCCAAATCTACCATCAAGTGGGTCAGGGAATGAATTTTTCTATTTTTTATTATACTAAACTTCTGGATACTCAATTACTTTCAAAGTTGTTTTTTTTTCAAATGTGACTAAACCAATGTTTTAAAAAAAGAATGCTATAGGTGCTATTTGTTGTGTTACTGTTTCCTCTATCTACAGTGCCCAGCTGAAGAAAATAAACATGAATGTAGTCTGTCTTATCTTTCACACAAGGAATTTGTTGAATATACATTCTATATACTGTATAGAAAGTGATCAAATTACATAAACAAAGCAGACAATAAATACTGTTTTCATTGCTATCTCTTTCTTCTTTCTACTAAAAGTGACATGAAGTACCCTAGGAGACATTTTAGCTACTAAAACACAGAAGTACTTCACAGTATCCTACTAAAGTGACAATTACAGGCACGTACATAAATTCTAATTTCAAGTACACCCTGGATTGTTTTGTGTACCCCATGTACACCTTTTGCATTTCCTGAGACGGGAAATTTTCAGGAAATCATTTGCATTGTGGAGCAAACTATTCTACCTTAACTACAGGGAAAAGTCACTTACAACGTGATACACAAAGGAAATATGAAAGAATGAAATTACTCAAAATTTTAAAGTACGCTTCATTCATGTACAGAAACACACAGTACTGACTATGTGTGCGAATTAGCTTTAATTACTTTCTTACCAATGTGGTCAGTTTGCTGGGAATAACAAGACATTTTTCAAAACCAAGAAGGTAATTTCACATTTCTGTGACACTGAAGTAAAATGGCAACACTTACCTTCTAGAGTTTTCACAGATTCGACAGAGTTGGAAGGGACCTCTAGAGATCATCTAGTCCAACTCCCCTGCTAAGCTGGATTGCCTGAGCACATCACTCAGGACTGCATCAGGCAGGTCTTGAAAATCTCCAGAGAAGGGGACTTTTTATACATGAACAGCATAATACACTATCAGAATGCAACAAATACTTCTTTGACCCCCTTGTAGTATTCAATTCTCCTGCAAGGCTACTTATTTGTGCACCCATCCCTCTTAAAACTTTTGTATGAACTGTAAACTTACGTTTGATTTTGTCAAAATACAGTCGTACCTCAGGACTCAGAGATACCTGCAACACTATGCACTAGTGAACTCACTCATTAGCCCAATAAACTGTAATACAAACAGGCCTAAAAACCTCAGGAGCATTGTCTGTTTAAAAACATTGTAATGAAAACTGTTCTTTTCAGCCTACTTAAATTCTACACACAAATTGTAATAGAAAAGTAAAAATTCACTTTCTAAGCTCCTATTATTAAAAAAATATTATCACACATTCCATATAAATGACACTTTTGGGGCATATATTTATTGTTCATGAAAGTATTCATACATCAGCAACCAGGGTTTTTGTAAACACCATAGGGAATTAAAAACATTGCTTACTTAAAAGTAGCAGAATCCAGACTATAATTTTAACACAATGATATAGTACTTTAAAAATAATGACTTCAGTTATATGCACATATATAATATATATAAATAGACACACACACACTTGTTCTTACATATGCATGTAAGCAAATGCATCTCTGCCACAGCCAGGTAGGGGATTAAAAGAAATGTTTGGTTTTTTTATTCATGTTCAATACATAGCAAAGATACACTATCCATTCACTACAAAATCATATTTATACAATATCAAATTCATATCGGGCTTTTCTGCAGTGCCAATAATATTGTAGATTCTCTTTACTGAATATTATAACTATGAAGTCTTAGAAATACAATCACTTTAGAAGTTTATGCAACATTTAACATGCTGGTCAAAAGTAAAAGATAATAAAGGAATGAAATATTGACACTACCTTAAGTAAATAGAAAGATGAGGATGAATATTTGTAAAATACCTTAAGACCAGGAGAGAGGTTTTCAGCTCACATTAAGTGGTAAATAATTTGTCTGTAAATACTTTATTTCTCCTTTTCAGGTACACAAGATTCACAAAACTACAAAGTGCCCTAAATTACAGTGCGTCCTTGTCCATGTGCCCAGGGACATAATCTTCTACCAGCAACACAGAAGAAGTAACACTCCTGTGAAATGTTCCCAAGAGAACTCGAGCCATGTGTAAAGCAAGTTAATTCAAACTATGCAGAATGTATACATACCAACTTTCATAATAAAAATGAGTTCACTAAAGACCCTTCTGCTTCAACAACCTCTTAAGAGACAAACCATTGGCACCTTAAAAGAAAGGCACTAGACAAACACGATGAACGTCAGTACAGAAACAACATTCACTATAATCTACAGCTTGCCACTGAAATAGTAACAGCATATGCATGTGTTCTTTCCCTCAAAATTCAGTACAAGTTCATAGATCTGAGAAACATGCACTACTATACAAGATTTAATATAAATTCTTGGTTCAGAGAAGATGAATTAAGTTTCAGTTCTGAGATAGCTCACAGAACTAAAACAATTTACTTGATCTCAACTGACAGAAGCAGAAATGAATTTACAGATTTTCTTTTAAAAAGAAGTTTTCTTTTACCACAAAGACTTGCTACTCGTCTCAGAAACTGCTTCCCCTCTGGGGATGCTCAGTCAGTAGTATGTGATCAATAACATCAGGTACTTCTGTATTTGCAGTGGCATAGCATGGCATGATCTCTATTAAAACTTCCCATAACGTTTCTTGCTTAATCTATATAAATGTAGTATATCACTCTAAGTGCTATAACATACTATAATTAGATGAGTCAAATGCAACTAACCAGTGTAAAACTATTAAAAGTAATCTTACAATATTTTTTTTCAATTACTCAAGAAGTTAATAGGGGTGTGAAGCCAAAGTGAAATAGGATGTAAATGTTCCTTAAATTTCATTTCAGATCTGAAGCTTATAATAAATATCCTCTCCTTCCCGATTTTGGCTGCACATCGGAGCAATCACCTTCTAAATACATTCACCTTCCCCCTCCCAGTGCAACCATGCACTTGGGACCACCTCATTTCTTTGTATTTGTACAAATCCCTTCCCACAGACCTATTTTTACTCAAATTTCCAAAAACTATCATGAGTGCAGCAGCAGTCCATCAGGAAAAATCTCCATCCCCTATAACAAGAAGTAGCACTAATATTTGCTGTAAGTACAGAGCAAGTATTGGGCAGGCAGGTGGGGTAGTTCTCAGTTGCTATTCCATCAACTCTCCTTAGGATCATTAAATTCTAAGCTCTGCAATACTTTACTGGGTTGCATATTTATATTCTAAAACACGTCAAGCACATAATAATACAGTAAGTGCTCAGGGATTATGAAATTCTAGGCACTTAATTTTCATTCTTTTCTGCAGAAATTCTGTAAACTCTTCTAAAGATCCCATTAGACACCAGTGTGTCACGGCCCGTACTACTTCATGGCAAGGGCTAAATGATGCCTTTACAATTACAGAAGTCTTTCCCAGTAATGAAGATCCATTACACTGTTACCATAAATTATATTTTAAACCAAGATATATCACCTCAGTTGTAAAATACTTTACAACAAATTGCAAATGTTTCTATAAACAGCAACAAAAGGAGCAACTTTTGTAGACACAGAGAAGATAAACTGCCACCGGCAGAAAGGAAGGAGCTGAAAGCTGAGTGCAAGGTTGTCAAGACTTGTAAACACATCTGACAACTACAGTGAGCAAAGACTGGGGGATGACACAAGTTTAAGCAAGTGGAAAACAGAGAGACTTGTCCTTTCAAAAGGTTTGATTTCAGAAGAATTTTTTTTAATAATATAAGCAATATAGATACGCAAAAATTTAATCATTCCCTCACATTTAGAATAAATATGTGGGCTCTTTGGGCTGCAAAAGCATAAACATATAAAAAATTATAAAAACAAATTATGTATAGCCATTTAAGGGACATAGTAAAAACGTGTAAATCAGTTTCCTAAATAAAAGAAGTGGTTAACTTGGAAGTGGTAAAAGTCTAGCAAGTGCTTCATGTGTCTCAGACACTATTTTGTGACTGTGGTCATATATATATCTACTTCAGTTTATCCACCTGAGCATAAGTATAAAAAAAAAAAAGCATTAGTAAACATTTATTTCAGAAGCACTTTGGAGTTTACAGAAACTCAGTAGGAAAATGCAAAATATTCTGAAGAGATATTAATAAGATTCCAACAACTCTAGAGGCGCACTCCAACACGCCAGGTTATATATCTGTCACCCCATTTCTGCATTTTTTTCAAGCAGCTCTGGGCATTATATGACACCTCATCTCTTTAACAACTGCAGAAAAATGACAAGACAATTAAACTGTAAGTGAAAGATATATAAACAAAACTTCTTCATAACAGAAAGACTCTAGAAAATATTACTAGTAAGTGATTTATGTTTATTTGGAATGATAAAGGTTTCTGGAAAAAAAATACCGTTTTCTTTTTTGGTTTGTTTCCTTTTTTACCCTGAAGTCCTCACATTCACCTTACAGCCTCATGGGCAAATTACTGTGAGAATCGAGTAAAAAGTGTAATCTCCATGGGTCCTGCTGAAATCAATGCAATTCTAGTGGTCACAACAGTTCAGCATATGAAGTAAAACACAGGATCAGCACCTGGTATATAAATAATTTAAAAAAAACCAACAACAACTAAGAAAAAGGCCCTTTACTACAGATTAAACACTTGCTGCAAATAAAACTGCAATTTCTACCATACCAAAGTTCAGGACTTTACTATGAAGTTGAAAGAAAATGCCAAAAAAAGGACTGCTGAGGAGACTCATCCATGTGACTTGACCCTCTCAAGCTTAATTAAGAAAAACAGTTAATAATCACAACAGCTGAAAGGTGAGATTCCCAGATCTGAAAATACTCATTTCCAGCCACACCACAGTACTAAAGGTAGTGTTGATAGAGAGCTTATCTGAACAATAACAAATTGTTAGTATCTACTATCCTGAAACAACCAGACAAACTATATGAAAAGCAGAAATCTCAGATTTCAAATTAAAGTAATGTATAGTTTTTGACATTGCTATCAAACTAGACTGCTCCTAAATCATAAATGAAAAAGCATTCCCTAAAATTATATTTATTGGAGGACTAGTAAGATATCAGCTTTAGAAACTTTAAACATTTAAAAAAAATACACTAGAACTGTGTCTGCAATTAGCAGAAAACATATAGCAATGGAAGTTTTAGTATATTTTTTGCATCTTTAGGGGTTTTTCCCCCTCAAAAAAATCTTTTCTACTCTCTGCTTCAATTATTTTTTTTTATATTTCAAAGTAACATAGGAAAAAACATGCTACTTGTAAGTATCCATTAGTTTGGAAAAGTCTGTACTGAACAGAACAAGTGGAAGTGAACTCGAAATCTGTCAGCAGTCCTTTGGAACTCAATCATTCAAATACTTTACTTTCTTAAACAAACAAACAAACAAACAAAAAAAACCAAAAAACCAAACCCCACTAGTGTTGTATCACACATACCTGTCCAGTGTTTTAACCACAAGCCAGTCATACATCAAAAACTCCTTGTGTGCAAAGCATTAATAACAGTAGATGTAGATTATTCCACACACTGCAGACATGCATCCTGCAAGAAGCTATCCGGACAAAAATTCAGATTACAGCATCACTTTGATTAGAAACACAACTGTAAGAATAAAGGAATAAGTATGCCAAATTTTTGTTCTACTTTGGTCATGTAAAGGTATCCCATGCAGATGTTTCGGAAGCTCAGCATGCATGTTACAAAGTTTAAAACAAAAAAAACAAAACCAAAAGAACTAGAAAACCAGCATTTTCCCTGAATATTCTTGAATTACAATATCTAGCAAGACAGAAATCCAATATTCTTACCTTTTTAGTCTTCAAAATTCAAATTCAGTAGTAGTGCATATACATTCAAGAGATATAGTAATTTGAACATATCTATAATAAAGACATTTAATAACAGATTTTTCAGCTCTCAATTTCTTTCTTAATGCATTCATTTCGTTAGGAAACAACTGCAGCAGCAACAGCTCACATAAGCCACTGTTCTTGTTCTTTTCTGTACTTCTCAGACCACTTCTGAGTAAGCTCTAGGTAAACATTTGGTTTATGAGGCTTATAATCAAGGTAAACCACCTGTCCAGTCCGTTTGGGGACAGCTTTTTCAATCTGAGTTCCCTCGTGCCATTCATTAAAAGATGTAATGGAAATAATTTCTGGTCGCACCAGCAGGGCAGCGCTGAAGGCAGTCTCATAGTACTTCCCATTGACGCGATTCCGGGTGTTGTGGTTGTTCCAGGGTCGGATACTGGTATCAATATACCCCGGGCCCACACTTGGAATAAACATTAAGTTGTTACTATCACAAAAGGCTTTTAAACTTGCCCAATTATGATGAGACGAGCCATAGGAGAAGCCATTGGTGGCAAAGTATGTGTACATTCCATCAAAGCCGCTTCTGTGAATGTCATGCTTATGTCTTTCTTCTACCAGAAGTGCAATGAATAACGCATCGTACGGAGTATTTCGGATACTCTGGGATCCAGAAACAGTTAACAGATTTGCCCATATTTCAGGAATTGTTACGTAAGAATCATAAACATAAAACATGGGGAGAAATCTGCCCGTGCTGGTCTTATGCCTGTAAAAGGCTGGATGGCCTCCATATCTACAAAGCAAACAAGTATCGTTAAGACAAAATTTGCGATTTGGAAAATACCATTTCACAATCTGAGCTGAAGACTTTTCCTAAAATCTAATTTAAAAAGACAGTGCATGGCTTCAAAACATAGCGATTCATATCCATTTTCAATCCAGTGTTTGCTGAAGTATTAAATAATGAAGCTGCAAAGAACCTTTAAATTACTACACATCAGTAACTTAGTGTCAAACTGTGCCATAGGTATTAGTTTTCTCTGAAGGGCACTCCTCTAATTCAGTATGAAATCAGGCAGTGTAAGTAGCCTTGATAAACAAAACAACTAGTAGCCGTACAGAATTATTCAAGGTGAATTAAAATCATTAGAGGTCAACACATTAAAGTTCTATCTCCTAGTTTGTTAGTATAAAAACGTGTGTTTAATTTATATACCACGTAGCTAATATTTTAGCTGCTTTAATCTGAAGTATCATGACTTGTGATACTAATGAATGTTGAAAACAATTTACATTTGAGTATCTATGTAAAATTCAAGTTTCTTATAGTTTTCTTCAGTCTCGGTACACATTTTTATATATTCTTCCAAGCTTTAGATAATACAGAGAAGTCCCCTAAACCAGCATGTAACAAACCCCAAAGGAAATCATTGTGAAAGCACTCACTTGTCGATGATGTATTTGACATTGTGGTACATACTGCGATCATCTCTGTCTTTGTACGGTTCAATATGAAAAGTGACCTAAAAGATGAAAACGTAGTAAGAGCAAGACAAACGTAAATTACTATTGAATACATGGGCACCACATATAATACAAAGCAAGTACCAGTCACATTAAATATAGTTCTTTACAGAGCAAACATTTTCATTAATCTATTTTAAGAATAATCCAACCTTAATAATTCAACTCCTGCACTGCTAAGCTTCAAGATCCAATAAAGTTTGGTAACAAAGTAACTACTTAGTTTTTTACATTAAAACAAAACACTGCTTTTGTTTTTCATAGGCTACAGCCAGTAGTAAGCGTGCTTCAGAAAACTTAAAAAACTATAGCAGAAACTAAAAACTATTACCTACTAGAATGTCAAAGAACTGATTAACCAATGAAAAGTTTAATATTTAATTTCTAAGCAACATATTAAATTTGCTATCGATAATCCTCCAAGGACAGTTTTCAGTGTCAAAATAGATTATAAGATATGGGATATGAAAACTTTAATTTAAAATTTTATAAATTTATTAACAGCAACATACTCTTGGAACTAAATCTAATATAATGTACTGCTACTGCTCTGAATTTCAAGCTTGGAGATTATAGAATTATTTAACCTATATGTGTGAGGTCATTTCAATGTAAAAATGTCATTGTTTTCAAATAGAAAATTAAATGGAAGAGTATATTACAATAATCAAGGCAATTACTTTTTTCAGAAGCAATTTCAGAGCAGAATGCATTTAATAAGGGATTCGACAACTATGCAACAGTAGTAAATTTCCATTGTAGAGCCAATATCTACCTCTATTAGGTACAAACTACAGAAAAATACAGTGTTAGACTAAATCACCACGACTGACAGGACAGGTTGAAGAGCACTGTAATTTCGTATTTCATTTCCACCTAACAAAACCAGGCAAATCAAAACGACATATCTTTTTGCAGACTTGCATTTAGCAGACATAATAGAAATCTATTTTGTGTGTCGCTTTTACCGACATTCCTAACACTTAACTATAATAACATACTAGTTCAAAAATGTTTAAAACCATTACAGTGAAGGCAGCATTCCCTGGTAGTATCTATATTGAATATCTCTATTCCAGTTAACTATTCCAAGCAGTTACAGCAGTTCCATCCATATTCCACTCATTACTACAATATTACATGCATTTTCCTTGGTATCTTATTTCATATTTCAAGCACAAATACAGGTTGGGCAGAGAAGGGATTGAGAGCAGCGCTGAGAAGGACTTGGGGGTGCTGGTGGATGAGAAGCTCAACATGAGCCAAGAACATGCGCTCACAGCCCAGAAAGCCAACCACATCCTGGGCTGCAACAAAAGAAGTGTGGCCAGCAGGTCAAGAGAGATGATTCTACCCCTCTACTCCACTCTGGTGAGACCCCACCTGGAGCACTGTGTCCAGCTCTGAAGCCCCCAAAAGAATAACGACATAGACCTGTTGGAGCAAGTCCAGAAGATGGCCATGAAGATGATCAGAGGCTGGAGCACCTCTGCTATGAGGACAAACTGAGAGAGTTGGGGTTGTTCAGCCTGGAGAAACCTTAGAGTGGCCTATTCAGTCCTTACAGGAGAGAAGGGGAGGGACTCTTATCAGAAAGTGGAGTGATAGGATGAAGGGTAATGGTTTTAAACTGAAAGAGGGGAAATTTAGATTAGATAACAGACAGAAGTTCTTCCCTGTGAGGGTGGTGAGATACTGGAACAGGCTGCCCAGAGAAGCTGTGGGTGCCCCATCCCTGGAAGTGTTCAAGGCCAGGTTGGATGGGGCTTTGAGCAACCTGGTCTGGTGGGAGGTGTCCCTGCCCATGGCAGGGGGCTGGAACTAGATGATGTTTAAGATCACTTCCAACTATAACCATTCTATGACCTTGCCTTGGCTCCTTTGAGAGATTTGAATGTTAACAAGTTCTTGTAGTTGACAGCAAGCTCCATCAGATGATCTGAAAACTTTGGGGAAAGGTAACACCTTTTTTTTTTCTTTTTAATAATTTACTATTACATATGTGCAACTTATGGCACACAATGCAACTCACACAGCATTTTAAACTGTTTTAAAATTACTTCTGTATCTGATTTAACCTTCCTACTTTCCTCCTGCTTGTCAAAGGATCTATGGTTGCTACTAGTGACAGGAAATTTCCCTGAGAATCTGCAACTTGCAAGACCAACTAAAACCAGAGCAGATGTACAGACTATATTTTTAGTCCCCAGTATAGACAATATCATTCAGAGATGAAACGTATACAGCTACTTAGATAATTTAAAAACTCAATTTTATTCCTCGACAAGACCATAAGGAAATGCATGCTTTCTTTATCCCAAGGGAAAATACAAGTTTTACTCTAAAAATAAACAAAATCAAACCACAATTTTAGACGCTACTGATAAACCCATGTCTTTGATTTGATATTTCACCTACTTCAGGAAGCCAATAATTCAGACTTTCTACCATGCCATGCCCTGGAATAACCTAAAGTCAGAGCAGCACCTCCCTTACCTTACTGTCCAAGGCAAGTGTTTCTGATAATTTCTGGAATAAAGATATTTAGTCAAACCAGAACTTCTAAATCCCTCTTTATTACTCAGAGATGCTCACTCCTGACCTCCGTGATCAGGATACAGAAATAGAAGCCACCGTCACATTACAAGCCTCCCTGCTCTACACGAGTCAAACGTAGTAAACTCTTACCAAGATTTACTTTCCTAAGTAGTCCTGTTTTATGTACCTTAAAATTACTTTACCTTTAGATTATATTTGTTTGCATAATCCAAAATAACAGGCACCAAATCATCTGTTGGTTCTCCATTTTCATCAGCCATACCCGGTGGGTACCATGAAAGCACTATTACACCTGAAAATAAAAAACTTAAGTTTTAAATCATGTTGTTTAACACAAAACATGTTATAACATTATTGTGAGTTATATATAATTATTGCTTGATGTGAAATCTATATAACATAAATGAGAATTTCAAATTACTTTTTAATCCATTACAAAATCTGAGTGTTCTCAGCGTGGATTTTAACTTCTCTCTCTGTTTAAAAGACAACAAAACAAACAGTGGTAAGACCATCTGTCACAGGAACGGATCTTTGTGCAGTGTCACCAGCCTAACACTTAGAGCCATTCCCTCAGCTTTTCAGCACAGCTCCCTAACCTCCAGGTTGTACCAAGAGGAGGAGATTGCTCCCAACTAAGGCATTTCAGCAGATCCACAGTACAGCCAGAGAATATCAAGAGACCTGGGGTTAGAGAACACTCAAGACAAAGGTTATGCATGTGATTAAAGTGGTTCTTATTTTATGAAACTTTATTCCCCACCATATTTCTGCATTGTACCTCTGGCTCTACTACAAAACAAACATTTCATACTATAAGCAGTGGCTGTACTTCCACAATCTTCCTTCTTGCTAAAAGCAGTTACTATGCTGTAGTCCACCCTTCCAGTCATGTGAAATTAGTTTTTAAATTTATATCTAAAAAAAATCCTTGAGTAACCCTCGATAATTTAAGGACGCTACTATTCCTGTCAAAAAAGATGACAACAAATACAACGTCCTTACACTAAGTTTTCCTCATGCTCTCCATGAAAGCAAAAAGAACACATACTTCTTCAGAAAGCCTAAACCTGTCCTTCTATAATAAAATGCTGACAGAGAAATAAGCTAAACCTTTCGGGTATGTAGCTGGGAATAACGTCAGGGAGAAGTTAAGGCAGAAAGAAACAAATTAAATACTGATGCAGGAATATTTTCCTACCAATACTATTTAAAACATATGGAAGAATAAGTCACAATGTGCTTCTTGTTAATTAGGTAAACGTTTAAGTACTCAAATCAGGTCACTGAGGTTGGGAAGTATATACTCTAAATTCCATCTATTTTACTAATACTGTAACATCTCTGACTAACAATTTCAAAACAAACAAGCCTGAAATTATGAAAAGGAGATCATAAATTAGAGTGAATACACAATCACCTTCTAACATCAAAACTAGAAATCTGAGCTCACTATACATAGGAGAAGTTAGTTCAACTATCCTCATCATAGTCTCTCAATATTTTATCAAAAAGAGAATCACAAATAATAACTTATCACAAGAAATAGTCTGCTCAAGGACAAGAAAAATGGAATATTTTACTGCATTCTATCACCCTATCTTTTATTTCACACCAGAGAAAAGGACAAAATTCAAATGAATAAGATGTAAAGGACAAGCAGAACAGCTGCCATAAACTCAGGTTAAACTCCAGGTATCTTGAATAAAACATCTGTCAAGACCCTCTTTTATATCATGAGGAAACAGGGAAAAATTCAGGAGACAGAATCGTTCATCAAGGAACATAAATTCACATTCGACTGCTCTTTCCCTGAGAAAGTCTACTTAATATGTTCTTTCCTGTGGTTAAAAAATAAAGTTATGTACCACTTCAGCAGTCTAAAAAAGGATGAACTCAATGCCAAAAACAGTAGCATAAACATGTTGAAAACCAGAGTTCAGTCATTCTAGACGAACTAAGGACTTCAAACTGGACTAATGCAAAAACAGCCTGGTGAAAAAAACAAAACAAAACCAAACCAACAAAAAAAAACCCCACAAGAAAATCACCAAGCAATCTGAGGAATAAAATCTATTGTATTAATCTGTTAAATCTTAAGAAATTAATAAATAAGGAAAGAATTGTAATATATAAGAAGAATACAAAGAAGCTCTGCATGAGACTCCTGCTGCTCCAATCTCTTACATGCTTGTGATCATTACATAATAGTCTGAAATAACCACTTACATTTTTCTCCTTTTGTAAGATCCTTGATAAAGCCTCAAAAAGGCTAGAAGAAAAATTATTATTTGACAATGTAAAATGCAGTCATGAATTAGACATCGGCTAAGAGACAAAAAGGAGAAACTCTAAGTAGTCAACCTCACAGCAGACCAAAAATGATCAAAGTATAATTCTTATGAAAAAATAAAATAAAATAGAGGCAATATTTGAAGTAATGATGTAAGGAAAAAAAAAGTTAATGATTTATGTTGGTCAAATCTAGATGGAAGAGAACAAATTCAAGTGTACTTAAATACTTAAGTCTGAATAACAGCAGAAAAAAATAACTCACTTTTTACAAATATCAGTAATATGTTACAAAGAGCTTAGCAAAGCAAGCATGAGCTACTCCTTCACACTGCTGAGTTTTAAGTGGAAAACCAACTTAGGTTATAAGACATAACTTGTTTTGCTAAGCTTTGTTTCCTAGTATTTTGCCCTGCTTCAACCAGCAGTTTGGCTATATTAGACATTTGTATTAAGAGGATGAGAAACATCACAAAATTTAGAGCTACAAGGGGTCTCTCTGCTTTCATCAAGCTCTCATGCATTATTTTGATTTAGGTAAGACTAAAGAAGTTCTTACTGGCAACTAATGCCTGAGATTTCACTGCAACAGTTTTCCCACTGTTGCTAGTGGTCCTGTTAACTGAGTTATCCTATTACTGAAAAAGGTGAAAAATTTCCTATGTTTGTATTAACTCTTGTATAAAATACAGGTTAGGTTAAAAAACAGGAGAAAACAATAACCAAGAAGTAAACATTATATAAATAAACACTACTAATGGGAATATAACAATTACATCAAACCTTAGTGATTACATGAATGAAAGAGACTCAATTCAGGGTGATTAGCACTCTGAATATGCTATGAGCTCTGGTCATGTTCCTTCAATTACACTTACAGAAGCTGTTCAGAGTTTAATATTAGACTATACAACTACTTATTTTAAAGAAGATGAACATAAAGAGGACCATAAAGCCCAATAACAAAGAATAACACCAAAAATATATTGAATAGTCTTATGTATATAGTCCATCTTATTTAAGAAAGGGAATATCAATTTGATTTGGGAAAAAAAAAAAAGATTTTTGGACAAAGAAATTAGCAACACAAACTATCATACCCAAGTTCAAGAAGGTTTTGATTAGACATTTCCGTAGTTAATGAGAGCACCTATAAATACACTGCAAAAAATATAAGCTGCATAAAAGCCATAATCTTACGTGTGCTTTGACATATGAATTAATACATAATCACTATTACACACAAAAAATTCAGAAAAAACCTGCTCCTATTTGAATGGACTGCTCCATAAAGACATTAACACGATTTACTGAAATCTTTTCTTAAAACTGAAGTATTCATCTCCAAAAATAAAATACACAGACAATATACTCTAGCAATGGTGTCTGTATTTTCCATGTTATCACTGCTGAATGGTATGTCATGAACCACACGCACCTACAGGATTGCAAACATAGTTGTTACATTTCTGTGCTGTGACGCTCATCAGACACTGCTATGAAGATATAGGTTTCGGTTGGGGGTTAAAACTCAGAAGTACAAAGACATTTACTAGTTTCAGCTATTTTCAGAATTACACAGAAAAATGGCAGAACTGGTCAGTTGTGTTCATTCACATACTCAAGGCTGGATAAATGAAGAACATGCTGAAACGTTAACATTTATTACCAGTTGAAGCAGAACGCATTTGTTTCATGTGGGCTTCTATGACTGAAGGGTCTTTGGAACTGTAAGATCCGAGTTCAGGATAGAAGTTGGCCCCAATGTCCTCAGGAGGATTATGCCTTCCCTTTGGATAATTGTTTGCAATTTTGGGATCCCAGTGTGGCAACAATGGATGGTTCCAGTGAATATATTTACCATCAAACTGTGGATTCCCAAACCAACTATAGTAGAATATATGAAAGTTATAATTAGGAGAAGACAGCTCTTCTTCCGGCTTGTTTGCAGGAGGCATAGATGCTTTCATAGTATTGACTGCGATACCATGGGAGTTACTGACACGTGTTGCAGTGTCTCCTTGAATCCTATTTAGTGAATTCTGTTTATTGTCCAACAGCACCGTCCGTTGTTGAAGCTCGGGCAACAAACCCAGTCCAAACGGGTCCCCAAAGCCAGCTCTGTCAGGTCTCAGAGTCTTCAAAGCCATCATTATGGAGCAAATAAACAAAATAAAAAGCAACAAAATGATGCATGTTCTTCTGCGAAATCTTGCCATGATGTCATAGTTCAGAATCCAAACAGAAGGATTTTGGCCGCAACTGATCAAAAGACAAATATTTTAAAGTCAGATTTCTTATTACCTAATTCCATAGTGGGAAATGCTTCATAAATTTTCTACATAATAGAAATAACATGGAGACAAACGTGACGCACACACTGACTGTGTAACTAACAGCCCTTAGTGATGGGGAGAGAGGAACAAAAAACATTTCTGCCTTTGAGACTGTCAGGTTCTGAAGTTCTGCCACCAAGGACTCACATATTTTATAAAACATCTTACTTTTGAACTTCATTGTTTTCCTAACCCAAATAAATCCCATGAAATGGAAATTCTGGTTACCTTACTTCAGAACTATCATGTTTTGACAAGTCTGATAGAAATAGCACAGAAAATAGAAAGGGAAAAAAAAATAAAAGCAGAAGCCATGAAAGGAGAATAACATAGCAGAACAAGAGTAAAGGACAAAACGGGATATGACAGAAGTACAGCTCTTGTTCAGAATATGGGTTTTATTTGCTAACTGATTTACTGGCTTTGGACCAACCACTCTGTATCCAGTTAATCAATATATTGACTAAATATTTTGGCAACTTAATCTCGAAACAATGACGCTTCGCAACTTCACAGATGTAAAATTCTCATTTGTTTTCTGAATGATGTAAATGAAAACCAGCATAGCATTAAGGATGCACCTCAACCAGAACACCTGTAAGTTAGCTGCTGGCATCCTGCTGGTGCAATGTCACAGCTACCTGACACTTCATGTAAAATTCCAGGGCTAAGTTCAAAACAAGACCAGAAAGATTTGAGCCCTGAAAGTAAGGGAAAGAAAATCAGTAAAATGGAATGCCTGATAACTTTATTTAAAACTTTAATTCCTGTTCCACACTAAACACGAGACAGAGAAAAGGATTAATGAAATTTAGGTTACCACAGAATTATGTGGAACAAGATTATGCATAAAACTGACAACACTAAACTGAAAAATCATAGAATAAATTTCTGATTCAACAGCCATTAGACACAGCATAGCTGTGATCTTATATTTCTGTCACTGTCATCCAAATTTTAGAACCTTACTTTACTGATATACACGTCGCTTTAAAATACTTATAAAGCATCTTACCTTAGTTCCCTACCAATGTTCTTTACTCTGTTAAAGCGCATTAACATATAGCTCAGTTGGCACTACTCCCTATTTTGTTACTGCTGTGATAATTTTAGATGAGGAATTTTAGAATATGCTTTTTAACAATATAGCCTGAATTGGATTAGCAGTATGACACTGCCAAAAAGGGAAGTTCTGCTTCCATTGCCAACCTTAATCCGTTCATCCGTTTTAGTTACTTCTGAGATTCATCTGGTTTTCACAGCAAGGTCACTCATATATTTCAAGAGCAAAACCCTGTTAACATCTCAAATATACACAACAAAAAAAACCCCTATGCTCTTCTACCTTCCTAAAGAGCTGACTCAGCTGAACGACTATCACAGCACTAACACAAACAAAAGAGTTAATAGCACAGATGGGGGAAGGCAAGAGAACAAACATGATGCTGCTTATTTTGCCCAACTGGACTGTGAAACCATACCTTTGGCTACTGACAGGGAAAGTGATTTTACGGCATATATATAAGCATATATGCTTATAGAACTTCATTTAAGACTTGTCCTTAACAGATTTCACATCACTTTACATCAAATTACAGGGTTCTTTTTCTATAGCTCACAACCCATCCCAAGATCTTGGAATTTTGTCAAAGAGATTATTTGAAGTCCAGAACGTTTTTCTTATGATAAGAAATTGCCTTTAAATACTTTCAAACTATTTCTACTATTTTCCTGATCTTTTCAGTCATCTGTCTAATCTATCATACTACCTCTTTCTGGGATTTTCACTCAATTTTTGTACCAGACAAACTGAGGTTTTCTAAAGGGCTGGGGGTTTTATTTTTTAAAAAAGGAAACAATATTATTAACTTGGCTAATGTATTAATGTATTCAGTTTTCTTAATTTAACCCAGATGCTATTGATTTTCAAACAACACACAGGACTACCAGTAATAAATTACTTCTGCAATTATTATTTTATCTCTTCTGTAAAAAAAAAAAAGAAATCATGACTGTAATGTCTATAATTAGAATGTTCATAAGGTCTTTCATTCAGGCTTTCCTATTCCATATTGAAGAAACTGTTCCTCTGTATTCTTTGCTTGACATAGGTGCTACTTAATTCCTCCTCTACTGCATAAAGATTTCTATCATAAAGTTCTTTCTCTGAAGTGTCAGGAATAGATCTTAGTGCTTATTTTAACAAGTATTTTTTCAATGGAATATTTACAATGAAAGTATACTAAAACCAAACAGCATAATTATCAAAATTTGACTACCATCAGGACAGACCCTGGGCTACTACAGCATGTTAAGAACCTCTAGTATGCTTATATAGAGGCTCTGCACCAAAGTGCAAAATTTCTAAAACAACTAAGTGATACCCATGGTAAAGGCTTGTGTTTTGGGGAGACATCAGTCTCGATGATGATATAACTTAGTCCTAGCAGAGATACCTATACTGTAAAAGCTGCATTGAAGAGCTACAGCTTGGCAATGCTTGCATTATGTAATTCAATCTTGTTTGGAGCTACTCGTTAGAGACAGCGACAGATAAATTATGCTTATCAATGCTAGTGCCACAGCAGAACAGTAATATTGGGGAAACAGACTGAGCAAACATGCCTGAAGTTATGTCTATCCTTGGATCTGGAAAATTCTTAGAACACATTTCTGATTCAACAACCATCACAAAGAGCATAACTGTGATTCTGTATTTCTGTCAGGGACATCCAAATTCTAGAGTGTGACTTCAATTTACTGAGGTACCCTGCTCATTCCTACATATTTATGAAGTATCTTGCCTTGGACTGTTGGGTGCACTTGGATCTAACAGCAATTCCCTTTCTCAATAGGAAAAAGCCTGAAAAGCTTCAGCTTTATGCAGATTAAGATCTCACACACAGACAGTTACTCTGACTCATAGGATGACTTGTTAACTAGTAGCAGCTTTTGGATTCTCACCCCAAATTTTGATGTACCAGCCAAAAGCGTAACCAGTTCAAAGCTCTTTCTTTTGCCTAGTGAATTCATTTTCAAAGAACAAAAAAAAAATTCATCTGTAACAGGTCAGAAAGAAGCATTATTTTAGATCACCAATCTCTGCCTATGGGCAAAGAACAGGTACAATGTCTACCGAAACAGTTAGGTACCTTCAGCTATTTGTGGTTCTGAGACTTCCTGAACAAAAGGTCATTTCTTTGTACAACACGAAAAAGCAGCTTCTGTTTAGAAACTCACCTGCTAGTTTAATTTTCATCTAGTTCTCAAATTAGAAGGGCGAGCAAACAAGCATTTGGTTACAGTTATTTATTATTATTTACATTTTCTACTTCAGCAATAATTTAATTGCTTCTATCAGCTCTCTGAGCTTTACTTTAGAGAAATTTCTAATCTGTTTATTGTATTCCTATCGCTGGATGCATTTAAACATTTTTGAGGTGTTTCTTTTCTGCACTGTTTCAGCTCCACTACATCCTTCCTTTCTCAGCTTAAGGGAACACATTTGAACACAGTGTGACTTTCAATATGCATCCTTGGCATAAAATTGCTCTTTTTTTTTTTTTAAATTTTGCTCCCTATCCTTTTTACAAAATCTTCTCCAAAAATTCAGTTCACAGCTAATTCACACAGCCTGACTATGGAATTATTATCATCCCTAAATCTAGTTCCCGAGTGGTAAAAATGAGCTCAGAGGTCATTGCTGTGAAATTAAAACTGCTTTCTTCGCTCTGTGCACTACACTACATATTTTTAAAATAAATCTAATTTAAAATGTATTTTTTTTTAATCACCCAGTCACTCTGTACTGGAAAGTCCTTTGGCAAATTTTGCAGTGAAAGGTGCCTGAAGAAATTTGGATCTTTAGGTGAATCTGTCAATGTACTCTTCATCACCACACACACTTTTCTGAATCATGAACTGTTATCTTCAGGTCCAGACTGAAAGCACAGAAGTCAATTGATGGCTTTTGGTTTCTCCTTTTATGATTACAGATACTAAAATTTCTTTTATTACATATCTGAAAAATATGAAGCTTTACCATGAAAGGACAGAACCACAACATTCAGTCCCCTTCTCCAAAAAAATCTTACATCGTTATTTACTTTTAGTTTGTAAGCTGCTATATAGACTTAAAAGCAGAAAGTAAATGTAAGTATATTTATTCCTCCATGACTATCTCTGTTCCAAATTAATTGGTTTCTTATATGGGAATAAATAGTATGAAACATCACAATAGAATGACATTTCCAGCTGTTTTTCTTAAAACAACTAATACCTCTATGAAAGAAAAAAAAAAGGTATGCATGAAAAAAGCTGAAGTATTTTCTAAACTGTTCTCCAAACCTAATAGCAAGCCTGTCTCAAGGATAACCTCTCCCATTCACGCTCATACAGTGATGAGTTTTAATTCCTCCTTCGCTGCTGCCCTTAGGCTACCCTGTGGGCAAACCTTCTGTTTGTCCTTTCCACTATGTGAAGAAAAAAAAAACAACAACAAAGAGTACAGACAGACAACAGGGCTTTTTCCTCATCACGTCTCCCCATCCCAAAGGATGTTTCTTGAGTCAGAGAAAAAAAGCGGGCTTAATTACTCTAGACAATATTGGTCATATGATAACTCAAGCTTCAATACCCTGCCCTATGGGGTTGTTTTTTCCAGTTTTACTGATTCCAAAAGAGAAATATGCAATGCAAAAAAAGTATGTTCAGATAAAACAGATCTATTTTAGTAAGCACCAGCAAACACTAGAATTGATTTGTTCTGATGTTCCTTAAACATCATAAATGAAAATGCAACACGGAAAACAGTTCTGAAAATCTGACTATCCTGATGCAAGGGTAAGGTCAGCCAAAAGTCACTGATGTTGGGAGCACATGGCTGGTATCAAAGCTTCCCAGCTAAGTGTTCTCAGCTCAGCTTCTGCTAAGATTTACCAGCTTGTAGAATCTGAAAACACTCAAGTGACAGATCAGATCTAGACAGAGCTGAAGTTTCTAGGCCTTCAAAGCCCATCATTCTGGAGCTATGCTGCAGATGTGCACCTACAAACGTTGCTTTGGTTCCTAAGTGATTGACCAGGTACTGAGGGCTGATAAGTGCCTGTCCAAACCACCACATTTACATAGCATATTCTGGTGTGGGGAACACAAATGAAAAATAGCAGAGGCTGACCACAGCCTTGTGCAAGTCTCAGGAGTGTTTCCAGTATTAGAAAAAAAAAGGAAATTTCTCAAAAAGTGTGTCCAGACTTTTCTAAAAAGCCCTTGAAAATCATTAGAGAGGGAAGAAGACATTACATACGGCGTGTGGACACATTATAGCTGTGCTTACATACTAAATATATATATTTTTAAGCACTTCTAATAGTATGAGGTTTCTTTTTGGTCCACCCAATTTAGAAAGAGATGGTTGAAATACGGCAATTCTAACACGGATAACTATTATCATTCACAAAAAAAGGGAACGTGATTTTTTTTTGCTAGCTAGGTTTGAATTTAAGAAAGACAGTAGCAAGAACGAAAACCAATCCTGCTGCATTTCCTTTGCTCGAAACGCGGTAAGACAGCCCCCAGTGTGAAATCATATTTTATATGCAATAACTTTTTTTGTTCGAGCATGCCAGCGTTCCCCTTGCTTTGAAAGGTCACTGAACCACACACCTAACTTCCAGCAGCTGCGGACCAGGAGATGAAAGCAGCCTCCAGCCTCCTCCTCCTCCCCTGGGCAGCGACCTACGGACCAGCTCTCCGGGGGCAGCTCACAGCCGGGGCAGCCGCAGGGGCCAAGCTGTCTGACGAGAGGGGAAGGTGAGAAGGGGGATGGAAGACACCTCGCCACTCGCCCACTCCCCGTCTCCCCGAGCCCCAAGTCACCAGAGACCGCGAGCGCCCAACGCTCCCCTCCGACACTGAGGGGCCAAGCACCAGCCCCCCGACAGCAGCCGCGCACCTCCCGCGCCCGAGGGGCCTTGGCAGGAGCCGGGAGGGCGGGCTGGGCGCAGCAGCGTCCCCGGTCCCTCTGACAACGCCTTACGGTCGCCTTCACCCCCTCTCCCGGCTCTCCCAGCCCCGAGAAGCGCCCTGCCGGGCCGGGCCGGGCCCATCTCCTCACTACCCCTTCCCCGGCCGGCAGCAGCGCGGCTGAGACCCGGCAGAACAGGTGCCCCACGGGCCGCCACCACCCTTACTCACCCGCCCGAAGCGGGAGCGCTGCCCAGCGGCCGGTGAGTGGGCGGGACGGGGGCGACGCTAGCGGGGCGGCCGGTGGCGGTTGCTGGGCAGGCCCGGGAAGGGCTCTGAGGCGGGCCCGCGCCGCGCCGCCGGGGCCTGTGCGCATGCGCCGAGCGGCGCGCGTGCGCGGGGCGGGAGGACGGGGCGGGGCCGGGGCTGAGACCGTCCCGGTGGGGGCAGGAGGGCGGCCGGTGACCTGTTACCCCGCCGGTGCGGGGCCTCAGTGCCGGTTACCGCAAGCTTGCGGGGGACGAGGCCAAGGCCGAGCTCGCCGGCCGGCCTACCTGTGGGGATGCTCGTTGGGATGCTCGTTTGGGGCTCCCTGCCTTCGCCTTCTGTGAGGAAGGGGAGCGAGCCTCTGCCCGTTAGGCCTCCTTGGGCTTAGAGATAGCCCTTTTTTTAACTCAAAAGGCCTAAAAATTTTTCAAGTCTTTACAACTCATTGCTGGGTGGCTGGTTGCTTTTCGTCTGGGAGGAACAGTGTTAATGGCTGAAGAAAGGGCATGGCTTTGAGCCTGAAGAGGCCTGGCTTGGAGCCTGTCGCGACGGAGGGAAGACATGAGCACTCCGACGCTAGCGGGGCGGCCGGTGGCGGTTGCTGGGCAGGCCCGGGAAGGGCTCTGAGGCGGGCCCGCGCCGCGCCGCCGGGGCCTGTGCGCATGCGCCGAGCGGCGCGCGTGCGCGGGGCGGGAGGACGGGGCGGGGCCGGGGCTGAGACCGTCCCGGTGGGGGCAGGAGGGCGGCCGGTGACCTGTTACCCCGCCGGTGCGGGGCCTCAGTGCCGGTTACCGCAAGCTTGCGGGGGACGAGGCCAAGGCCGAGCTCGCCGGCCGGCCTACCTGTGGGGATGCTCGTTGGGATGCTCGTTTGGGGCTCCCTGCCTTCGCCTTCTGTGAGGAAGGGGAGCGAGCCTCTGCCCGTTAGGCCTCCTTGGGCTTAGAGATAGCCCTTTTTTTAACTCAAAAGGCCTAAAAATTTTTCAAGTCTTTACAACTCATTGCTGGGTGGCTGGTTGCTTTTCGTCTGGGAGGAACAGTGTTAATGGCTGAAGAAAGGGCATGGCTTTGAGCCTGAAGAGGCCTGGCTTGGAGCCTGTCGCGACGGAGGGAAGACATGAGCACTCAATATGAGTGATCAGCAAGCTTCGTTTATTTAGACACACTATCATTCTTTTATGCACACACATAATTAGCTCGTACATATTGCAAAATGAGAGCTCATTATTGGTTAGTTCTAAAAAGACAGTTCCGCCCAAAATTACTTTCTTATGGTTACATGTTTACCTTATCACAGACATTCTGTTGTTGGACCACAGCTGCCTTCAAGGCCAGAACATCCTTGCTGTTGTTGGGAGCTAGATAAGCTGAGTACGGTGCTTATTGAGCTCTTGCTGGACTAGCTGACCCTTCTCAGCTAGCCAGTCTCCCACAGGAGCCACCCTGCCCAGGGCCAGATGGGGGGCGTGAAACTAGATGATATTCAAGGTTCCTTCCAACCTAAACCATTCTCTATGATTCTGTGATTTACACCCTCCATTATGGAGTGAAGCATTCTGGTGGTGCCTTGAGAAAGGCAGTGCATTGGGGTCGTTTCCCATCTGTGTGCCGGGTCAGCTGGATGGGAATACACCAGGAAAGCAATACATGGGTAGAAGTGTAATAAATACTCCCATTATACCGTCATTTTGTAGTGAAAGTGGGCTATGAATAGTTGCCATATTTAGATTAGTAACCGAATCAATAAAAAGTAACAATTTTCTACTGTAGCACCAGGGGTCTGCCAAGAAGAACACTTCTTGTGGAGCACTTCAGATTGACTCGATACAAGTTGTTGCACTCTCGCTAAACAGCACGATTTTCCCACAGAATGGAAACATTTCTTCCCTTTGCTGTGGGAAAAGTGACTATAATGAGCTGGATCCCTGTGGTGCAGTTTGCCTCAGTTGTGTTTTGGGTTTTTTCAGGAATCTAAGCTGTGAGACAAACAGAGACCAGAGCCATGTCTCATTGAAATCAATGACAAAACTCATTTCACCTCGTATGTGGATGAAAAGACTTGGGATGAGTGTCTTATACTGTAAATATAAACAAGCCAAACAAGTAAATTCAACAACTCCTATGGTTTTCCTTGAGTTTGAGAAAATTGACAGGCAGAATTGTTGCCTGGTATTTTCTTTATGCTGAGTGCTCTGATGGGAAATACATTTGCAGTAATGCTTATTTATAATACTAATTTCTTGCATGTATCTGAATAATTTCATTAATGGAATATGTTGTACGTGGTTCAGGAATGTCATGCTTTAATAGTAAGTGAGTTGCTGTATGTGTAGACTGGAGGTTGGGATTCGAAAACTTGGTATCCATATCTTTTCCTCACAGTCTTAAAAAATTTTTCTTTTACTGCCATTTCTTTCTTTCGTTTTCTTCTTTCTTGCTTTTTCATTTGTTTTCTCTTTTTTGTTTCTTCCTTCCTTTCCTTCTTTCTTTCAAAAGAAAAGGTAGTATAAGGGTGGTCTTCACATCCATTTTATGGAGGACATAACTTAGATTTTCACTTTCTCTTTACTGTGTGGAAGAACCCCTACTGGAACTAAAAAAAGTTTTTTTCTTTCCAATAATCATTCTTAATTCAGAGCTCCTGATTTGAAGTTTCGTGAAACTCTGCTACTCTATCTGATATGTAGCCACCTCTTTGAGTCCTTCTTCCCAGACCCTCTTTTTGCTGCATCTCACGTTTTCCTGGGCAGAAGCTAAAAACAATCTCGCTGTTGTGCCACAGAAAGTGAAAAACTGTTGGTGCGTGTTTCACTCAGTTTTCAACAGCAGTAGAGACACTATAATAGTTTGGTGGTATTTAGGTAACTATATGCCTGCTTCTTACAGGTTTTGAAAGGTGATTTTGAAACACTGAAGGCAGATCACACATTATTTAGAGCAATTGAAAGCTTTGATGATGAAGACTTCAGTAGTACACAGCCAGGTTACCTGACTGCTGGCCATGGACAGTGAAGATCTTCAAGCTGTGAACATAAACAAGCCCTATTAAAGGTCATACACTTTTTCTGTCATTAAACTAATCCCTGGATTTATTGAATGGTTCACTGAACTGTTGTGTATGTTAAAGATTTGTTCCAGCCTTTCAGAAGTGAAACTATTCTATATGTGTAGAAGCTATGTCAGAGTTCAAAGTAATTTTGAAATTTTAAAAAACAGTGTTTCTCCTTAGAAAATGATGGGTATTTTATAATTGGTATTGTGAAATTAAAAAATAAAACCAAACCAAACCAAACAAAACCCCACCTGTACCACCCTAACCAGGATAAGCAAGAGAAAAGGTTGGAATTAGAGCCACTGGAAATGTTCCGTTTACTTTTTGTATGTCTGGGCAATGTATACAAGTAGAAACTTCCTTTACTTACAGAGAGAAATAATCTAATGTATTTAATAACTTTACGAGGCCAAAATGTTGTATGCTTTGTTAGTACAGGATTGCCAACCAAAATTATTGAAGTGTGTGCTCTTCTATACGTTGGATTTGTATGAAGGTTATTCATTGGGCAATAAACACAGAAAATATATTGCACATTACTTATGTTAGCATGTATTTGGATGTGCTTTTTCTTTCTTTCTTTCATTTCTTACTAAGTTTTAAGACCTTTTCTGGAAAGGTATAACCTGTTAAAAAGTAACTCTAATAATCTTTTTGTTTGAAGTAGAGTTAGATGATATCTTAGAGGGTGAGGAGAAACAATTTTTTCCTTCTGCCCATAAAGAAAATGGTGCAGAAAGAATTTACATATTGTTTTCAAGATTTTCCCTGGAGTACTTATCAATCTACAGATATATTTGATTTGGAGTCTCATCTCCTTCAAAAATTAGAAGCCTCATTTGTGCTTCCTCTCAGATTAAATGAACTGTGATGAGACAATGATGTTTTCTTCTTCTGGCAGAAAATGTAATTCAGCCTAGGTAGTCTTGTGCACTGATTTTTTAATTTTTTCCTTTTTTTTTTTTCTTTCTCATTTCAGCAATTGCAGCAGAAAAAGCAGTTCTTCAAAGGAAGATGAATGTTTAGATGACAGGGTGATAAATGCTTTAAAAATATCTCAGTTAGGTGATATTGGCAAGAAAAGGAGCCAAAGCAAGGGAGAGTTTAAAAAAATATGACACACTTAGCCTGAGGGTACACTTTAAAAACATATCCATTTGGATTCAGAGTGTTCCAGTACCATTTAAGCATCCTTACTTGGGTTTGTATTAAATTAGCTGAATAATATTTCATCGCACCTCTAGGAGTAATAAAGCGTTTCAGTTGCTAGCCATGCATTAATACATACAAACTTGAAATAAGTACTCTTCTTATTGATGTACAAGACAATTTATATATAAAATGTGACCACACATGCATAGACTTCCCTCACTGTATGTTCAAACAGGCTGCAGCCTTGCAGTTTTAAGAGGCCCCGTTTTAGAGTGCCAATTACATCTCTTGAGATACAGCAGCCTTGGGATTTTGGTTTGGGGTGAGGATAGCTCTGCAGGATGACAAAAGTTCCTCTAGTCTTTTAAGGGACCCAGTGAAGGTGGAGACTGCATAACCCCCTTCAGAAATAAACAAATCACCACCAGCATTCAAAACTGTGAGGGTCACAGGGTCCAGGTGCTTAATTGCTGCCTGCACACATGAGTATTATCATTAGTAGTATGACTTTTTTTTGGTGGAACGTCAGTGATGAAGATGTACAAGCATCAAACAATGTGCTGTGTTTGCAATTCCAACATTTTACTAGCTTTTATTTTAGGAATAGATGAAGCACTAATAAATTTCATACTGAGACTTGTACCTGTCATACAAAGGCTACCACATTTTCATTTTGACCACCACATACATGATTAGTCTATAGGTGAATGGTTGACATAATTTGTCTCATTTACCAGTAAGCAACAATTTTAAGTTTTTAGTCATATATTAAGCATAAATATTGTCTCAAAGAAAGTCAAAGGTATGTAGTAGCTTAATCCACCAAAAAAGTATTGTACGGCCTGATAATAGTAGTGGAACTGTGTCAGACTGCACTGTGAAAGGTG